TGTCATTAAGGAACACCCTGTATAATATTATATGATATATTATACAGTGCTAGTCAAAAGTCCCCTCCCCCCCTCGTATCTTTTGAACGGGTATACTTATAATAATGAAATTTGGAGGGTGGAAATAAACTATTGCGTCACCTGTTATGACCAGTTGAGAAGCCTACATCCGTTTATTTCCACCATCCGAATTTCATTATTATAAGTATACCCGTTCAAAAGATACGAGGGGGGGAGGGGACTTTTGACTAGCACAGTATATTATAGCAAAATGATAAATCATTTTCATTTATTGATGTAAAAGAATAACATATTATCTCACTTTGTTCGACATATGCAGCATTGCTATCAAACTTGTTATCTATCATGAAATTAATGGTAGGAACAATTGACCGCACCATTACATTTAGCGGATCATCATCTACTTTTGAAGAAGGACCACCACCTGTTTTCAGCATTTTATTTTTGAATTCCGTATCTGACTTTCTAGTCCTAAAAATGTTCAATTATAGGTGATGAGTATTATTGGGTGAACTATATTCATATTTCCAATATATAATTGGAATGAATATCAGGTTATTACTTTTGTTTCAAATTATCCCATAGTTTTTTTAATTGCTTTGTGGTCCTTCTGGATACATCGTTCGAGTTATAAAATTGAGTAATTTTATTCCAGGCTTCATTTTTCTGTTGGATCTGTATAGCATCGGTTTTTTTATTTTCCAATATATTCTTATATTTCTCCACCAAAGACATAAGCAGAACCTTCTCTCTTACGGAGAATACTTTTCTATCAATATCACTCATCTGTAAATTTGAAAAAATCATCTAGTATCAGTCTTTAAGTCTACAGAATCAAAAATTTCCACTTACCTCGCTTTTTCACTTTCAAATTTGAATTTTTGAAATATTGACACAACACGGCACGAAACAGAAATCGACATAAATCAGCAGAATCTGGTCACAGAACACTAACATTGAACACTGTTGCCAAATGTAAGGATTCCTTACACAAGGAGCACTTGAGGAATGTTTATAAAACAAGTCATTCCTTCAAGTGCTGAGGAATCCTCAGATAAGGAAGCCTTGAGGAAGTCTTGAGGAAACGACTATAAATATGGGCCTTACACCTAATCTCTACCAATTTTGCCCAATCAGAGATTTTTTGAGTACCTATACTGGGTAATTCCCAGAGATGAAAGTGACAATATCACAGGGTTTTTAGTTTTTTATTGCAACGTTCCTGAGATTATATAATCGAATGGCCATTATGTTGCCACCATTTTTTTTTTGATGACTTGTAACGTCTTATAGGCATCCTCTGCAAGAATCTTTTCAATTTATATTCATGGAGGAAACGTTACCAAGGTATCTCAGTATTTTAAGTTTTCATAATTCCTTATAAACTAAATATCGGGTCTTCAACAATGATTAATGATGGAGTACCGCGTGACCATTTTTAATGCGGCGTCCATTTTCCAGCCATGTTAAAGAGATACCACTGTACTCTTAGTTGCATAGTAATCTATCACGTGGTTTTCATTTCTTCGAGCAAAATGAAAATCGGTAATTACTCCCGGTTCAGAACGAACACACGGTATATACACTGTATATGCAAAATAAGAAATATTTGAAGAGAACGAACAAAAAAATGGAAAGCTCATGTAATGATATACACTTCTCACAATAATTGAGGACGTTGAGCATGGTCCTCATCATTTTCCTTCGCTAAAAGATCGAATATATTCTCAGAGAGTATTAAGAAGTAGGTAATTGTACTTCTGATAATCTGACGGATTTGATCACGTTCAATATTCCATTCAGTCTTCGATGGTACTCGAATGAGTTTTTTTCCCACCACGACTGGTAGAGGTAGACACATCAGCCTTTGAATTCAGTCCTTGTGCATTGGGGTTGTCGACTTCATCGTTTTCGCGAAATGCATCTGAAGAACGTGATGTTCTGGAGGTAATATGAGATGAACAATGAATGAAACTATTGAATACTTTGAAATTGTTCGAATGTCCGTAACAAATAGTTGTTCGTGGTAGGTGTATGTTAATTGGCTATTTCCGAACGATCTGAACCGACTCGTAAAATAACCATAAGAAATATTTTATGGGTATAATTTCACAGGCTCTCTTTGAAAGAACACGACTTCGTGTCAATATTTTTATATTGGTATTAGGAATATTCGTATTTTTGAAATCTGAAACAAACAGATTATAGTGAGATAATTCGAATAATATCGGTAGGTTAATCGAAGAGGTGGAATATTCATTTCTCTAGATTTTTGGGATTTTCTCTGCTCGTTTCGGTAAATAAAAAATGTTAGGTAGTTTCATATCAATATAAAGATACCTGCTTTAAATTAGACCAATGGGAATGTAAGAGAGAAATTTAATCGATAGTTGGTGACACCTTATTGTTTGAAAATGAAGAATGTATTGGTGTTAATGAATAATTGCGCCAAAATCATGGAAGTGATTCCTTATCATACTCCACGAAAAATAGTGCATATAAACTTTTGTCCTATACCTATAGCTTCATTTTCGAGATAAAGGGTCGTATCAATGTTTTCATAAAAAAAAATGTTTTTTTATTACTAGTGTTTAGTGTTGCCACCTCAGACTTCCAAAAGTCGCAGAGCGGCCACCTGAAAAACACCAAAAAACCACCAAACCTAACGGAATCTAAAAAAAAATGCGCCGCATGCGAATAATTTGTGCAAATCTAGTGATTTTCTGGTAGTTTCAATTTCAGTTCAGATCTATAGATTACACCAGATAATGCAAGTCTAGCTGGTCAACGGATCTTGGCTTAACGACATATAAATGAATTTGAAAAAAGCTTTTTTTCTCAACAGAAAACAGCCAAAATGTGGATTTAACCGTTAGAAAAAAATTTCAGTTGAAACCATTATTTCCCTAAAAGATTTTCTCTAGTTTTAAATTGTTAAAATTCGATGTTTTTCATAAAACAAGGGGAATTTTGGATGCATGTCCTCAACCACCAGATTTCACTATTTATTCGTAAAAATTCACCAAAATAAACACCATCCACTAGATGCCATATTTTGGCACAAAACGAAAACTCAATCCACCAGTTCTAGTGTGAAATCCACTTAGTTGGCAAACACTGCCGGAGTCGTCTTTTTGTCAATTTAATGAAACTTCTTTTGGTGTAATAAAGATTCAAAATAACAATTCCAGTGGCGTCGTTAGCTTATCGATATCGATGGTGAATATCATTGTACGCCAGTGATTTTTTTCATGTCCCTTGTGTCACTTTTGTATCTCATTATTCGAAAAAAAAAGTGAAATTCAATTTGACTCATTCATTCATACCCTGTATATACTCCAAAATAATATATAAAACAATCCACACGTCAAGAATAAGACCACAAATGAAGATATGTTTCGAAAAATGTATACTCTCCTGAAATTCAAATAATATGCACCCCAAAAAAACAATCAAGAACCACCAATCAGACGATTAGAGTCACTCTATGATTACGCAATAAATAAGAAATGGGAAAAATAATTTCCCACATCCTTTTTCAACAAAAGCTATCCATTAAGAAGCACTGGTGGACGATGCCTATATGATAGTTATTCTCACTATACCTAACTCTTTGTCCGCTAAGAGAGGGCATTATATAGATGCTATCGCTGTTTGGATTCCCACAGTGAATTCACATTATCATTAATGAAAATTATCTGTAGGAAAGAAATAATAATATGCTAAAATGTATCTTCTGGTATTGATGTGCCGGTAACAATGCTTGCGCGTCAATGAACTTGAACTGTCAAACGAATTATCAGATGAACAAAGACAGCAGCATAGCAATAAACGATTATTGGTGACTGTCCTACATACTTCTACAGTGACTCAGCAGCTGTGGTAGAGGTGTTACTGGATGCAAAATAGGTAAAACGTGTTCACGTTTATTTTGACAGTTTGACACCCTCCTTTGGAATTCATTATCATGTCTTCAAAAAACTAACGGACATTACAAATAGAAGACAAATAGTTTATTCTCAAAATGGGACAACCTGTGAGAGTTTATGAACGCGTTACATACTATACTTCATCTACGAACTCATAATTTCTCTCTTCGACAAGATCCCATAACCTTTGTGAATATGCATAAGAAGGTTTCGAAGAAGTTTTCATCTGACGTAGAAGATAAAAACTCTTCGATTCGCGGAGGTATCAAAGTTTTCGATTTCTCAGGTTTGTACTCATATATTCTGCTACAATAATATTTGCTCACATAAATGTTCTCACGTTTATATATTGTCATGCTTAGCATTGAATAAATTGCCCACGAAGAGTTCTTGGAAATATGCAAGTACCTAAAACATTAACTTCGATTTCACTTCTGTCTACATTTCGCATACATTTTTAATGAATAAATCTGATACAAATAGAAATTGTTTAAATAATTCTGATTGTCACCGATTGCAAATTGCAACAAAATTAGAAAATGACAGTTGACGGTTCGTTAGCGTAGTTCCTACATATCCGTACGCTAAATGCCATTTTCGTAATGTGACCAGAAAAAAACTTCTCTCACACTCACTGGGCATTATGGTCATGTCTAACAACTGTGAAGATACGTTCAAACAACTCTTCCATGCTGAGTGAGTGAGACAGAGTCATAGATACACAGGCAATATCTTCACAGTCGTTTGACAATATAACCAAGGACAAAAGTTTTCCCCCAATGACTTTTGCATCCAGTTTTTGCTATGAAGATATAATTAACTCTTAGTGAATCTTGATAAAATAGTTGTTTGATTATATTTTCCTGAAATCACAGCAACAAGTTTTTCATGTGAGCAAATACACATTTTCTGATAGCCTGCTTGTCGATAGAGTACAACTACCTACCTATTAGAAACAACAATATCTGATGTTCTGATTGTTCTGTATGCTATCTTATAAGGGCTTTGTATACAGTGTGACGTGACTCACTCTATAATAATTCTTCTTACCTTTGAATGATGATCGGGCTTCAGTAACAGCTTTTTCTATGAAGTCGTCTGATATCCTACGGGAAGGATGTTCATTGAACACAGAATTCATTAAAGCTATTTTCGCAGCACTTCTTCGCGCTTCAGCTTTGGTTGGGCAGTTCTGGAAGGAAAATTAGATAAAAGACATTTTATCAAAAAACGTTCATCTTGATATTCATGGAAGTGATTCTATTTTGGCAAATTCTTATTCTGACTTATTTTGAACTGAATTACCAGGATTGACTGTCTAAACCACAGAAAAATATAACCAGACAGATCCTGGAATGGAGCAGGGATAAAGTGCGAATTTTGACAGGACTCCTCACAGGCCAGTAGGCGGAGATACGACCTAGGACCTAGGAAGGATGGGTCTGAAGTCTGAACTAAGTTTGTACTAACAAGAGACTGTCGCTGTAGCTTAGAGAGGCCGATTTCAGGAAAATCTCACCTCATGAACTTTGTAAAAAGAAGTGGATTGTACAGTGAAAGGTAACCTTTAGGGGTGAGCCAGAATAGACCCATCTGGGGCCGCGGTGGAGGTGTATTTGCCCCACTCACTTGCAACCTCACAACAAAATGAAAATCCATTATCAATAAAAATATTTTTTCTGCTCTCCCAAATTTGTTCGGTGGCCAAAACATGACCGAAACTATCTGGAACTTTTCCCATTCGTAGGAGGGAATCTATTGAATTGCCAACAAGATCACCAGATAAAACTCCAATAGTTTTTTGTAGGGTTATAAAGAGAAGTATACTTCAAACAGACCTGAAACTTTGATGAAGACCATTCATAGTACTCTTGAAAATCGAATATTACAATAATACAGATTGAAATAGAGATTCATATGTATCATTAAAATATGCTAAAGTAATTATAATATGTATAAAGGGTAGGTATTCCAAAGAAACAATCACTACCTTTCCATAAAAAGTGAAAAGAGACTGAGATGTTTAGATCCGTATATAGGTTTAGGTTTTTGGGTACATTTGAATTTCCAAAAGTGTCGGCTAGGTTAGGTAAGATTATATAGGGTGGAACTAGAGGAAGTATCAATCTATTTGAAAACAAAATTCAGGAAATTATGCAGTGTAAATTTACTAATATTGGAAAATAGGCATGAAAAATCCTTCCGGCATATTATTTCAAGGCACGCCATTGAAAAACTGAACATGAATCATGAATGTGAACCGCATGATAGTTATCGGGTTGAAGATAATCCAGATAATGATCTGATACAGAACGCACACCTTGTGAGGGTTCCCATTCATTGAGAGAATATAATCTGGAATGATAAGATAGAGGCTTCCTATAAAGGTTTTGAAATTTATTGAAGCTTAATTACAGTAAGATCCGTAGAATTATTTCTTTCAAATTGTTTTAATAATGTTGGGACTATTACCTGAAAACTTCCAAAACATGATCCTCCTGGTAATGTAACGTAACAAACGTAAGGTTGAGCATTTGATGGAACAGACTCATATATCACAAGCGCGCCATTGCGCAAGTCTGCTCCTCTCGCTTGTTTCATTTGCCAAAATTCTTGTAGAGCTTCCACAACGTTGACTGAAAAAAAAAGAGAAGTATGATGCTGGTATAACTGGTATACTTGAAGATTTATTTAGGTATGTCACAGCAGCACAGTTTGTTCTCTGCTTTGACAGTATTTTTTGAGATCTGAGTTAAAACTGTTTCAAATGCCTATATACCTATGTAGATATCGTTCGTCATATGGTAAACAGATGAGATAATGATATAGCATAATGAAGACATGAATACTATCGACTAAGTTGCATTTTGGTTCACTTATAATGGGAAGATTACATTAAATGCAATCAAGTGATGGTAATATGCGATAGTGCACAGTGAGTAAGAATTAAAGTCATAGTTTTACAGTAAGCCATGCCGTTTTCGCATACCTAAGGCATCCTGAACTTGAAGATGCTTTTCGGGAAATATAATTTTTCGTACTCACATAACCGTGAGGAATATGGCTATTTAAAGTCTTATCTTTACAGTAAGGTTTGCGGTTTCCGAAAAATCGTGTCGTGAAGATGATTGACGGGAAATATGGTTTTTCGTACTCACGTATAAAAAGAAATGTCAAAATAACTGAGGAATATGGCTGTTTTTTTTTATCTCTTGAAAAGCACGAAAGAAAATTCCTATAAAAGTCGAAGATGTCATGTGTGGCCGAAATCTAAAAGCTCATTGGGTCAAAAATATCAGAAAAAGCTACACCAGTTGCCCAAATTCACAACCCCAAATTTACAATGTTTTACTCGACTCTGAGTTCCGAGATATCTACTGTCTTAATCGTCGTGGGACACCCTATATTGAGGATTTGATAGCAAGAAAAGATCGCGTAATATATTCATCAGAGAAATAAATGTTCCCACCCTGTGTAGCATGCAATGAATCAGAAATAGGTTTTATTACCGCTGTAGATAACGGAATCATTATGGATGACTAACTCATCTTGGTATGACATGAATCATTATGATCATCTGTCCCATGCGAGAGCTTACAACTTCCCAAACGTTATACGTATATGACTATACCGGGTGTTCCATAGGTCGTTTAGAAATATGTAGAAATAAATGTTAGCACGGACATATATGAATACACATTGGTCATACAGGCATATAAATGCAGGCCATGGCTATTCAATTTTATAATTAAAGATTGTTTTATTAGGATCAAGAAAGACACTTTGTTTGAGAAGCGAATTTTGCATGCTATTTTTTCTGCAACCGAAAGAGTAAACTGAAATAAATATGTGATGTGACATACTTGAAAGATTATTATAATACCTTTATTATAATAATATAGGTGAGTAGATACAAGCAAGACCTCAAACTACTTTACATTAGAATATTGGTGGACGATGACTTCACTTTGTTACGTTTTGTGTTGACATGTATCATATAAATCAGATACTACAGGCATGAATTCAATTTCAAGGATGTTACAAGGATGTTACGACCACAGAGTGACCCATTTGTTCATTCTATTGAAACGATGAATTCATTTGGACCAGGTGTTATAATAGTAAATATCGCGCCAGTGCCAGGAAAAGGAAAAAGAAGTGGAAAATGTTAGGTTAGTGAACATATCAATCATAATAATTGCGATTATTTATTTCTCTCCATATTCCACTGTGTTTGGCTCGGTAACAAATGAAGATAAACAATATCGTTGTGTGAGACAAGAAATTATTGCTGGCCGTGATTATTCAATGACAAGTTATCCAATCAATCAGATCCCGAGAATGAATTGAATACAGATCAAGCAAGTATGTGAATCTTGAAGCCTTTCCTGATCAAAACGAAAATACCTATAACCATAATATGGTGTATTTATATCTCCAGCATGAATATGGGATGCCAAATCTGCCGAAATCGGGAACAAATCAGGTATGCGTCCCAACCCAAATAACCAACCATAACAATGTTGTTTATTCTTTTTAGTTCCAAGGAGCTAAAGTTCAACTTTTCTCATGTGATCCCACAAAAAATTATAACCTGATGATACCCATGAAAATTGACAACATTTTCGGCAAACATGTTTCTCTCTCGATATTATAATCGATGTGTATACCGGGCGTGTACCTCTAATATGTATAGACAAAATAGTTTTTTTCACCTGATGGTTGATTTGATTATTATGCTAGACTTTTGAATTTCATGTAGGTATCACGATTATAGGTAAGGGGTGCCATTTGTAATTTCCAAGTTGGGGTGTCTGGGGGTGAAGGGGATGAAAATAGCATTCAATCGATATCTAAACCAACCTATTTTTCCTGAAAATTGTAATCACCGCAGATGATACATGCAGGGTGGTAAGTTTTGTAATGAAAGATATAAGAAGGAGCGGCTCGCATAATAGCAGTCATCAGTCAATCAGTCAGTGAGACAGTTGTTTACCGCGTGTTTTCAAACACTCGAAATAAATAGTAATGATATGTTAGTCATAAATAACTGTTTCTTCTAGTTGAATAAATCAGTTCATAAATAAATAAGTGTCTCTGTTCACTTCTGCCCACGAGTAACGTGACAATATAGTGAGAACTATTATAGCTTCGTGACCTCTATATATCCACTGTTGACGTATCGCTTCCAATGAAACACCCTGTACACTGAACTAACTATATTCAGACACTGTGTAGTAAAAAACGGTTGGGGATTGGGGAACGTATAGGCAATCTCAATTACTCACGTAAGCGCAATTTCAAATTTCGAACGGCCGAAAACAATCTTTGGACATGTGAAACTATTGTTGCATGAGGTCAATTACACACTTTTTTGTGTTGATCGGCCATGAGAACGAAAGGCATTACGGCATTAGTGGGCTAATCGGAAACATCACAAGCTGCCGGCGGCACTGTTTAATGTCTGTACGGAGCCAGTTTTTAAACGTTTCAGTAGTGCAAGTTAAAGTTCATACTGAATGTATGCCGCATTTGCTACTTTTTTACTGTCTGGCTATGTCACGGAATAACAAGACTCATCCTACCTATCCTCGCGAATTTTTTGCCACGCACATAAAATATCATAATGGGAATGGATGGCGATTTCGGGTAATTTTAGGATAACATTTGAGCAAGAAAAACAGGGTACAGGATTCCAATGAGTATCGAGCCTAGAGTATCGTATCTAGATAAAGACGTAACCAAAGATGGAAATGAAACAGGAGTGAATGAGCCTCAGACCAAGCACTCCGAAAGCCTCGAGCACATTCCCAAGCATCTTCTAGGCGGAAGTTCATGCTATAGGGAGATGTTTCCATTTCAATTTGAAGAAAAACTATGAAATAATAAATATATCATTATTATGTCCGATAGTCAGGCAGTCATCAAGGCGCTGATCTCAGCTCAACAATGGTTTGAAAATGCTGGGGAGAGAGCTAGCCAACAGAAATACTGGCACCCTCCCTCTATGTGTTCTGGAACATTCCGGAGTAGGTAGAAGAAAAAGAAGTAGCGGGCAAACTTTGAAGAAAGAAAAAGCTAAAATACCCTCTGTAGGACTGTAGACTACTACTGCGGAATTGAGTACCGACCTACTTTTTGAAATAAATTAGGAAAGAAGAAACTGAACAGATATTAGACCGACAGACTATTCTGGGAGATCACAATGATTTGAGATCAGAGTCATATGAAGCAAAAACACCTCTTCTTTCTTCGGGGGCTCACAATCTTTCATTAAGGGAATGGTATCTCTTGATACCACCTAGTGTTTCTTCATAACCACCCAATGACTTTCCAACTTATTTCTGTAGGATATTGCGGTGTAGGCAACTTTGTTGTAAGGTGGCATTCAATTGTCTATGAATGAATATTGGGAAATGAATGAATATAGGGGTTTAACTTCCGTTGTCACATGAAACTAGGGCTTTGCATCACCTTCATCAGCAAACCACAAACTGTTCTACATTTTGTCATGATTTGAAAAAAGTTAAAACAACAATATTTCCCTCGGTAAAATCACAACATTCGATTAATCAAATGTCCAAATATGCTGTATGCATTTATGGAGGATTTGATATCTCAAAAATGGCATGGCAAAGAACATGAATTACTGTAAAAAGCTGCGACAAGTTTTTATGGTGTTGAACAATTATTATATTGGAATCTTAGCATTCTTAGCTCGCCACTTGAAGGTGCAAAAAAGTCAGTTCATTATGCAAGTAATGAACATTTATAGGTAATTTCGTTCTTTGTACCCGGCATAACCCTACGAGTGTTCTCGATTTATTGGCGTCCAGCTCTTTGATAACACCGATGTGGTGTTTTTGTTCCTCCATTACATTCTAACTGGACAGTTTGACAGATGGGCAATATTCAAGGAGGTATTAAGAGCATTATCCATTTGTGACTTTGATATATCTGACCGTATCTAACCATGCGATTCACACTGAATGAGCTCGTAAGTAGTCTATTTATTTTTGGAGTGAATGTGGTTGGGTGGAGTAATATTTAGCAAATAGCCAAGCGGGTACCGATTTTCGAGTTGACACAATATAAAAACAATATGAGCATTTTTTATTTCATTTCAATCAATTCAGTTCAGCAAATGAATTGGTTTGGCGCCTATTGCAGATATTCTGCTGTGGCTATGCAATATCTTTCAACTGCTAATAGAAAATACACTCAGTGAAGTAATGAGAATGTGTAATTGGTTTTGTTACATCTATTCGCATATAGTGCTATGAAATAATAAAAATGGAATCGCAAGTATTCGGAATTTTTCAAATTTCAAAACTGCATTTTGTTAGGCCTGAAATTGCCCAACTTCGCCATAATTCAACCGACCCTGTATCTCTTAGTGTTTAGGAGATCCCATCAATGATGAGGGTCGAATTCCAGCCACCCTGCACCGTGGACATAAAACTGAGGAGTTCCGAACTCATTTTATGAAAATTGATATGGAGGAATAACTTATGTGTTCGTTTGGGTTGCTAGATATACTTAGAGCACGTCCAGCAGAAATGCGTTGTGTTCATTTTTCTGTAACCGACACAAAAGTCGTCCATTTTAATACCAAAATTGACGTTTCTCTTACTGGAGTGCGTTCCAGCAGAACTCCTAGTCGCGTCTAGGCGCGTTCTTTGCGAAGCCCAACTATGGCGTCATAGTTGTCGAACTGTGCCGTTCCAGGAGCGACAACTTTTCGTCGAGGTAAATACTGCGACGTTGGGGTGTTTGAATTGACACATATTGACACTATTGAAAGCAATCGATATTATATTCGTAATGTTAACAGAAGCAATTGTAACTTTGGCCATTCTAACTGCTTATCACATTTGTTATATTTGTTTCATATGCGCCGCCACATCGAATCAGGTGCAACCAGGAAACTATTACGAAGGTGTTACTGGGGTATTTTTGGGTCGACTCAAGCACCGAGTTGTCACAAATGAAAGAAAAAGTTGAACTTTATCGAAAAAAATATCTCAAATTTCAATGAGGTTGAATTCCGAAGTCATTTTCGTCTCAATAGAGGAGCATTCAAACAGCTTCAAGCTTTAAACTCCTGTTGGAAGACTTGTTGTGTTGTGGAACACTCAGTATATTGAACAACAATACTCTGTGTCTCATACTTGGGCAATAAATATTGGAAATCAGTTGACAAGAATCATCGATATCAGGAAACAAGTTTGAATTGGAAATTTTCATCCTGTATTTCAATTAGAGGCGAATTTTCAAAAACGTCTAGAGTCAATAGTCTAATATGAATAATGGATATCGAGAAGGCCGTTTCTGAATATACTGAATCGAATGGGGCATGGTTTTAGTCACCATTTTTGATTTTATTGACTGAAATGAGATTTTGTCTTATTTTCTTATCATCCTGTATATTCCACAATAGTGCTTTTTTCGTCTCTCATTGTCCTCCACAAAACATGAGAACAGTTCTTCCCAATATTCAGCTCAAGTTCTAGAGAAAAAATTCAAGAAATGCAAGACTTTCGAAAAAAAATCTAATTTTTGTTCCGATGGCCAATTGAGGAGAAGTCACGAAAACGTCCCGAGAATAGGTCCCAGTGTATCATAATATGACTGACTTTTGATCACAAAAAAATTTCTCGAGTTCTGGCAGCATTGGAAATGTAGACCATAGTGTGATGGTTCCACTTTACACCCTGTGTAAGTTTTGTTCTGCGGACTTTCTCAGAGTGTTCTAGCTCTCTTTAAAGCCAATGAAATATCACATCTGATATCGAAAACCGCATGAAGAACGGTAAATTTAAAAAAAAAATACAGGTCTTCGAAAAAGAGTAAAATTATGAGTTATCCATTTAGTGTGTTGAGAACTGTATGTGAACCCCATCCAATCAAATCTTTTATTGATGAAAGATACATGATGCAGAGGGAAAAATTGCCAGATAACAAGCTAAAATTATGAATAATCACAATATTTTAGTGCTAAAATAAGTAAAACTAATGTCTCAATTCAACTCACTCCATTAGCTGTTTTACAAAAATATAATGAGTCCGAGAGCATCTAGGTATTGAGAAAACCTTTGTAATTCCACTCTCAATCCCTTTCTCTTTAATGTCACTTCCTGAGTCAAGTCTGACACAAAAAAATGGTGAGCTAACAGGCCCAATCACATCATATATTTCTCCCAGTGGTATTTTGGTTGACTCTTTCTCAATGAAAAGGACTATCTCCAGATCATAAGCTGGGGAATCTGGAGCTGATGATATTGTTACTAAGAAGTGATTTTTGGTCTATAGACGTTTGTCAACACGCAGGCGCTCATTTTGGATTTAATTAATTGGTCTATAGGAATCTCCTATGCACATAATTGAAGACACGAGTGGATAAAGGGTCTATGTGACATTTTAATGAAAAATGAGATTTTTGGGTGGATAAAGGATTTAAGTGAGTAGAATGTTTTCCCTACTAATACCGTTCATCTATTGTACAAAATAAGAAAGTTATATATTGATGAAAGATCTATGTTCACCTATGTTCTATCATTGCCACTGGATGAAGGGTTCAAGTACATTGTATTGTATGAACATGAATTCTTCATCCATGATTATTCTATTTGTCGGGTACTTGAAACAAACTCTGTTTATTTGAAGGATGAAGGATTCATGTACCTTTTTTGAGTTTTTTTTTTTTACTGTATTATATACCAGTGTCAGATGTACTATGCAAAATTGTGTAATAAAGGTCTATTCAAACCAGCGATTATTTTTTTCATTCAACGCAATACAAAAAACTGCGGCATCAAAAACTTTGAACATCATTTGCTCCAAATTAATTTTGTGTGACTTGAACCCTTTATCCACTTGTGTCTTCAATTATGTTTGGACAAAAATGAATCGTGCATATCGCTCACCTCGGTAGCCCACGTCGTCGTAGAGCTGCACCATAGGCGCCGTCGCGGTGCAATTCCACTGCGGGTCGGGGTACACCATCATGTCAGTCCTGGGAGCGGGAGCGCCGGCCTGCAGCGTCACTCCAGCGGCGTCGCCAGCAGCGGGCTCGAGGATTCTCCGCGAGGCGATGTCGCGGCCCTGACATGCGCTTCGCATCAAGAGAGCCGGCGGCTGCGGCGGGCGCTGAATCGGGCCATAGGCGGAAGGGCGGAGACGGGCGCCTGCGTGCCAACTAGTCGGGGCTAAATTCCAAAAAAAGACCTCCGTTACAATCCTAGAAGCATTTCATGTAACAATTGGATAAATGCTGTTAACCCCCTATTTTGACCCCGCTGAATCCGAAAATACCGTTTATCAAGTCGAAATTCCAACCGGAAGTGAGATATTCAAGATGGCGTCCAGAATACCCCTAAAATCAAATTATTTTCTACTTTCGGTCAGCTATACGATTGAGGTGTCGATGTCTATGTTTTCGGGGGTGTAGAATACGATGACACTCAAAAAAGGATTTTGAGCTTTGAAAGTTCATCGAATGATCAAATTTTGACGAAATGGGCCAAAATTCCAAAGAACTTGTGAAAACGTGTTGTATAATAATATAATACGTTTTCGAGGGTGCTCGATACGTTTATGAGCCAAAAAAGCATTTGAACATTGTCCAAGCCTTCATTTCTTATATTTTGAAAAAAAAAGTTCACTATTAGTAGTCTTCCTCATCTTTTCTGCTCCATTCGGCTCCCTGCAGCCACAGTGGCCGCAGAGCCCCATGCAGCCACAAGCTCCAAATTCGGGACATGACTTGGGAATAGGTAGCAAAGTCATCTAGATTGGGACTTACCGTCCATCACCAATTTTCCAGCCGCAATTAATCGGGTCTGGTGAATCAAGATACTGATCATGGGCGTTAAACCACACACTAGTACCTAAAAAGAAAACAGACTAAAAATAAAATCCCTCGATTTTTTCTATTTTCTTTTTCTTCTTGTTAATTTTATCTGGAAGTGGCACCGAAGAATGTGTTGATGGATGGCATCAGTGGTAGATGGCAAAAATCATACGCACTGTCCCAAAAATTGCAACACGGGCTGCGTCTGCCGTTGTAATGTCCGGTCCAACTTGAAATAAAAATGATATTAGTATAAAAACGGCTAACAGTTCTAATTCACCATGTGTCTTAGAAAAGGGACGCAACAAACCTTGTATAAAGCTGGCACCACAAACTGTTCAACCAAACGGAGATCCTCGGGGGCTATATCAGGAGTCTTTCCAAGCTGACTGAGGAGTTTACAGTAGTTTTCTCCAATGTACTGCTTCCACCGTCCTGTTTTTGTGGCAGACCCTCATCAAGATTTAGTATCACATTCGGTGATTGCGTGGAAATCCATCAGGTTTTTGATCTGTTGTGATGTGAGCTTTCTACATAGTTCATGAATTGGAATATACTTTCTATCTCGGGAAGTACCACACATCACCCAGCATTCCTTGCATTCCACAGAACTGTGGAAGCAAGTACATAGAAGAAAACTACTGTAAACTCCTCAGTCAGCTTGTAAAAACTCCCGATCTAGCCCCCGATGATCTCCATTTGGTTGAACAGTTTGTGGTGCAAGCTTTATACAAGGTTTGTTGCGTCCCTTTTCTGAGACACATGGTGAATAAGAACTATTAGCCGTTTCGATACTACTACCATTTTTATTTTGAGTTGGACCGGACATTACAACGGCAGACGCAGCCCATGTTGCAATTTTTTGGACAGTGCGAATACTTTTCGCCATCTACCACTGATGCCCTCCGTCAACACATTCTCCGGTGCTACTTCCAGGTAAAAGAAAATTGAACAAATCGAAGAATGTTAATGTTATGTTCAGATACTAGGGTGGATTAAGGCCCATGATCAGTATCCTGATTTATAAGACCCGAATAATTACGGCTGGAAAATTGTTGATGGACGATATGTCCCAATCCTGATGACTTTGCCACCTATTCCCAATTCATTTTCCGAATTTGGAACTCGTGGCTGCAAGGGGCTCTCTCAAAATATAAGAGATGAAGGCTTGGACAATGTTCGAATGCTTTTTTGGCTCATAAACTTATTGAGCACCCTCGAAAGCGTATGCAAGCATATACATTATGCAACACGTTTTCACAAGTTCTTTGGAATTTTGGTCTATTTCGTCAAAATTTGATCATTCGATGAACTTTCAATGCTCCAAATCATTTTTTGAGTGTCTCATCGTATTTTACACCCCCGAAAACATAGACATCGACACCTCAATCGTATAGCTGAGCGAACGTAGAAAATAATTAGATTTTAGGGGTATTTCGGACGCCATCTTGAATATCTCACTTCCGGTTGGAATTTCGACTTGATAAACGGTATTTTCGGATTCAGCGGGTCGAAATAGGGGGTTAACGTCATTTATCCAATTGTTACATGAAATGCTTCTAGGATTTGGCTTTCCGCAAAGCAAGCCCCGACTAAACTACGTCGTCAGTTTTGACGGTTTTGTCGGTATTGGTATAAGGTAGTGGAGCCATATATGGCCAGAGAGATTATATGGCCTGCATGGAAATTTCAAGTCATTTCAAGAAAAAAAAAAGAAGTTTGGCATCTAATCGCTGCTTTGTTTGGGTAGCTTGGTATACTCCCTTCTAACACCGCATCTTGCATCCCAGTTCGTGAGACCAACTAGTACAGTTTGATCACGGAGATCGTGGAGCGATAATAGTACCATTAGGTAATTTTGGAACAAGAAGTTTCTACCATATTGTTGACATAACTCACATCTCTGTGTGCGTGCACCACAACTAGGTATCCATCATACCTTATGTTTTTATTTCAGTTATAATGAGGTAACATTTTGCGTCAAGATTTGGTGGATTCCACACTATCGCCCATAAAATCATATCGGTTTTGAAATATGGCCCAGGACATATATTTTTGTTATGAATTTTTTGTTTTTCATATTACATATAGCTCAAATGTTAAATTACTGTTTGTGTCTAAGTTAGCTAAGTTATAATAATGTTGAAAACTCTTGTACGTTCATTTCTTTATTTTACCAATAAACATCAAAAACATTAAGGCCTCTTCTACCTTAGTTAGCGGTAATTTTGCACTCATCAGGCGGTGGGTTTTTTTTTCGAGGGGCAAACAACTCTTTAAATATGGTGTACACCCTCAATTTTAAATATTCAAATACTTTGAATTATTTTAAATATCTAATTTTTCATTCTCTTCAGTACATTTTCATTATCTTAATTTCCATTTCAATACATTGAATACTCTAAGTACTATTAAAATCCGTTTCAATTATTTTAAATCCTTGATGATTAATCTAAATATATCAAAAATACACGTTGATATCTTTTGCAATTGGTCAGGTCGTTGGCTTCTCGACGGCTTGTCATCATGAGAGTGAAGGAATTCGAATTTTGACGAAAGAATCATAATCTCCGACCCCGAAATTTCTCTAGTTTGACCTTGATCGATATATCTGGCCCCACGGAAAGATATCCAGGTGGTTCAAAATACTTATATTTTTAATTTTTGAAGGACCGCTGAAGCTCCTCGCGAGTCTTCCCATAACATATATTCGTTCACCAAGGGCAATTAAGCGTATAAAACTATGAAAAAATCATAAAATTTCATTTAATAATCTATTTTTGTTATATTATCACAGATAAATCAAGGGACAGCGAGCATGGATTCAATCAATGATATGCCTTATGTATTTTTGACAAAAAAATCCATTGTAAGATATTTTTTCCCAAGAAACTGACATGTTTCCAATTTCTTTTCGATTTTTGAGGTGAAACTGGTGTAAAAATGATGCGACGAAATCAGGGGACAGCATGATTTCAATCTATGATATGCCCTGACAAAAAAATTCATAGAAATATATTTTTTCCGAATTTCCGATCTGCTCTTCGAATTTTGGGGTGAAGATTGAGTCGAATGGACAGGTGATATATATTATAACTCTATTTTTATTCTACTACTGCTAGGCGTCCTTATTGATGAAAAAACCTGTTGTAATGGGATATTCTATTTTTTTTAAATATGTTCAATATTTTTCTATACCCATTAAGTATTTTAATTACTCTCAAATAGCTTCACGTTACTCCATCACTCACTAATACCAAATATTTTAAATATGGTGTACACTTTTATGGAAGTTTTTTGCCCCTCGTTTTTTTTTCTCATTTTTTGTTGTCATCTACGTATTAATTTTTGTCTCAAAAACACGAACTTGATAATGAGAAGATACTGTCTACACAACCGCCGCGGCGGTTGGATACTGATACATAATCTACCGCCGCGACGATATTTTTACCTTCTTCATAGTGAGTACTTCCGAGCAAAATTACCTTGTTAGCATTTGGAGACATGTTCCCAGCAAACATTTATACATGGGCTATCAGTTTTCGAACAATGTCACCCCAGTGAATTATCATTGGCATAATATTGGAATTTTTCAATGGCAAATCACTACCGTGACCCGCTGGCCTACTTAACGCCAATATTGGCGAAGCCGTCTGCCGTACTTCCATTCATTGCTTATTCATCATTGTTGGCCCAGTGATGACTGACAGATGTATTTTCAGTACATTTCCATTGAAAATTAAGAAGTTTATTCACACACAAATAATTTGAGGTTATGTAGAAAACTACAATCGAAAATGGTTTGGTCAATCTGCCAAGAGTTGGTAAATTCCATTTCTGTTGCTTGATATTAGAATATCTAGAATTTGTGCGAAATGGGCAAAACACGAAAGGTATCTGGAATGAATTATTTGTGAATTTTAAGTTAACTCTAAATTACAACTGTATATTACCTACTTAGCCTATACTGCAACAGTATAGGTGGGTGAATAGATTGACAATCTCATCAATACAAAATAATGTAACAAAGTGATAAAAACTGGAATTCTTCCTCAACAACAACCTAACTTGGAAGGTTGAAGGAATAGTCATCGTGATAAAATGTTGAACTATTGTGAAATTCACCACTAAGTTTCAATCATTCAGTCCTATAAGCAATCTAACTCTACATCAGACTTGAATCTTTTTTTCCACCCAATATTATTGTAATAGGATGGTAGGTAATATCTCGGGTAATATGTACACAGTTGTGATTTATGAGTAATATTATCTGTGAGAGAATGATTGAATTGATTTCCTTTGAGAATACACTAAGAATATGTCAGACAGTCATCACGTCATCACTATGCTGTGCCAACAATGAATAAGCAATAAATGGCAGTACTGTTTTGCCAATAGTGGCGTTTTAAGCCGGCCAGCGTTTCACTTCTGATTTACCTCTTGATTTACCATTGAAAAATACCAACATTTTGCCAATGATGTATCACTGGGAGGACATTGCTCAGAAATTGATGGCCCATGTATCGATGCTGGGATTGTTATTTATGTGTTTCCTATATGTATTTCTCAAAAGTTTCCCAACATTTCTCACAATTCTTCATTTCCCCGAAATTCATCGAAATAATAGAGATTCTCTATCATGCGATCCAAAAGATAAAAAATACCACTCATTTCTTCTCATTTCGTGAGGTCGATGTGGAAAATCATAGTCGAACCCCAAAATTTGCTCTTGAGTGATAAAAATCCGGAAGTTACAGACAGCGACAACAACAAAATCAGCCCGGAAAGATGTTTCCGATGATATTTCTATGATCATGGAAGGAGGAAAATTAATTCGATAAAAAATTGCGGAAAATTGAATCGACAATTTCATAAAGAAATTAAATTCCCTGATATTCCCCCAAACACTTTAATTTCTTCGAAATTCATTCATTTCTCCGATACACATTGTGTTGCTAAATTTTTCAATTCGGCCTATCAACACCAACACAGGAAGAAGTGGAATGTTGATTAAGAAAATGTGTTGCTCGGACTAACTGGATCAATTGTTTTGAGAAAAAAGAGGTTATAGGTCTGTTTCTTCATAATTTCACATTCAATTGAATAATTTGTTTAGATCGTTTCTTTTGAAGAAGTCCAGCATCAATAATGCTACAGACGGTTTAGTCTTTTCCATCATAATCAGATCACAGATTCAAGGTTTAGTAATTTATGATCGGATGATGAGAAGACTAAACATATGCATTTCAGTCTTTTTTATCACAAAATTATACCTCAATATCTATTAAGTACAATCGAGGGTACAACACAATACCTATAAGAAGCTGCTCTAAGTGATACTTTCGAATTTCATCTCACACATGAGAAGACAACTGTATAAAAGTTACCGTACCTCAGATGGCAGAAAGATATTCCACATCGTTATGAGAATAACCACGAAAAGTAGTGTAAAACTCACACCAAAGCAATGTTTTTCTTGTTGCTGCTGATTTCAGTCAAAAATGTATTCACTGAAAATTAATTAACTGACGTTGTTCCTGTGGTGGAGATTCACCATTATGGTGATGATTCATAATTAAAAATGATCAGAAAATGGAATTGAAGATCGTGGCAGATTGTCAATACGAAATCTATTATTAGTGGTGAACTACCTGTTGAAACATGTCAGCATGCCACATTATTGATGAATATATTCTTTGATGAAATGATAAATATTCATGATGTTTTTTTCACAGAACTTGACCGACATTATAATGAATTATACAAAAACCGAAATATTGAAATATATTTTATTGCTGTTGCTGTCTGAAGTTCACCAGTGGTTACGTGATTTAGGAAGATGGAATCTGATGATAATAAGTGCACAAAATGTAGTAGATAAAGGGCGAGACAAAAGATCAATGCACCAGATCCCGATATGCGCCTTGTGAAATTACTGAAATGAAGTTGATTTCTCATCAGATCATCACAAACATTTGACTTTGAGCGCTGACGCCCAATGTTTTAATGAGTATGAAACAAAGAAAAAATAACGAATATTACCATTACAGGAAGTAGTTTCTTCACCACCAAGGTTCTTTTTCTATTCTATGAACCACTAGACAATATAGACATAACCACATAGCATTCATTTGAATTCAATTCAAAAATTGTTTCAGAAATAAGGAAAACTCATCATGTATCGATTATGATAATGCGATACTACAGATTTATAACCTAGTATGGAGTAAGCTGCAAAAACTGGCTACTCAAATTGATCCCTACATAATATTTTGGATTGACCAGTAGAATTGGAGAATGACGATATGACACTCAATCAACCTATGAGTGTTTGTTCTGGACTTAGATTATTCCTCAATTCAGGGAAAATATTGGATATGAAAAATTTCTGAATCACTCTGAGTTAAACTCGGGGTTAAACTCAATGAAATTCATGGATTGTTCTTCAATTGTCATGCAAATCTCAATCTCTCATAAGGATAAGATTTTGATGAGAAAATACTTGAACTGAGCGCTATGAAAATACTTTCTACAGTTATCCGGCACTATACAGTTGGAAAATATCACTAGTGGTGAAAAAAATACCACGGAACCTTATCATAACTAGGGTTGCCACCTCTCAATTTACGATTTTCAGGACGAAGAATGAAAGAAAGAAAGAAAATGCAGGACAATCAATAAATCAATAAAAAAAACGGAAAATGTTCGACTCAGAGGCATTAAAAGGAACCTTTTAGATTGATTTTTCGAATTAGGACAATCAGAACACCACATCAACCAACGCAGAGTCTCATAGATTATAACTATGACTTGAGTAAAAAGTGTTCCTCAAGGATCTCTTTTAGGACCGATCTTATATTTATTATATACCTATTCAAAATTTCACCGAAATTACGGAACTTTTATATGAGGATGAAAATCCTAGTATTTAAGCTAGTATAAGAAGATATAATAAACAGAGATTTGATGAAATTTGAAAATGGCTTCATTCGAACCTTTATCGATAACACGAATGAAACTAAATATAAATCTCTATGTCAAAATTAAAAACTGATAATTGAAACAAACTAATGAGGAAAAGTATATCTTAGGATTTGGTTTATTGATGATAAATTGAAGTGGGACAAATATATAGAAGTATTAAAAAAAAATCTATTAATGATGGAGTCCTGCTCGACAGGAGATGCAATATGTTGCCAGAAATGAATGGAATAATCAAATGAGGAATAACAATGGAGATTCTCGAAATTGAGGACATTTTCCGTCCTGCAAGCGATCTCGACAATTATTTCAAATTCAGCACGTCCTGGACGGGTGGCAACCCTATAATCATATCCCTGGAGTATAAATGACTTTTCTGTACTTATCACACTGTTTCATTGGTTCGATATACATACCGATAAATAAGTTCTTTGTGATCTTCCACAAAAATATATCCGCGTTTCATGTGATGTGAAAAAGTCGGCGATTCGAATTTACCGCCATGGCAAAGCCAAAATCGTAGTATGGTACAAACTTCCCGACTATAGACCGATTCAGTTGGAGATGAATTCTCGCCAGCAGCGCATCATGGTCGATTCCGATTTCGGAGATGTGTCAGTGTCAGTGCCCTGGGTACATCAGCTGGCAATCGCGACCACCTCAACTGCACAAATGCACACTACTGAGTAACAAGTCCACCGTTTTCTTTCTTGGTCGCGACTGGCTGTGTCTTCAGCCGTGGGTCTGCCGGTTTGTTGTTGGTTGCTGGGTATTCTCGCGGGACATGGGCGTACCTACTGCGCCCGATCTGCATGTATCCGTAAATCGGCGGTAACTCACATTTAATAATCAAATTAGCTCTTAGGCTTCTTCGCCTAACTGATGAGACCCGGAAGGTCGAAAGCTCACACATTGCACCCTAAAATATTCGTTACCAAGGGTATTTGAGCAATCCGTCACCACAGACCAGGGGGCGATTCGTTCGGTATTGTCATATACTAAAGATTTTGTTGTCACTTTGTGATATATTCAATTCAAACAACATAAACAACACTTTTCTGAATGCTGTCACATATTTGTGACGCTGGTCCATCGAGTCGTGAACTCATCTTACAACACACGCCAGTCAGAGATGGTGAAGCTTCCTTGGCCCTGCAGTTCGCTAATAAAAGATTCCATATCATATAATGGTCTGAAAATGTACAATCACCTCCCAACTATTGTTAAATCTATCTCGGATATAAAAAAATTCAGGAAGGAATTGAAAAACTTGTTAGTCCCTTATGTGTTTTATAATGTTAATGATTTTTATGAACAAGTATTTTAGACGAAGCCTTATGTGTGCACATGTTTGTGAAAAATTGTATTTATGTTGATAATCGTTGTATACATTATTTTATTATTTTATTTTTATAACCTATTCAGCTTTGTCTACAAGGATTACATTCTTAAGTGACAATAAAGCATATTTTGATCTGATTTTGAAAGTAATCTGTCAGGATAGACCAGGGTCACATATATGTAACAATCCATATTCCCTGATTATATATACCAAAAGCAAACAAAATCATGCGATGACAGCCTAAAGCCTATTTTGGATGTGGTAATCATCGAAACAAGGTTCAATACATAATCCAATTGGTTGACCACCATCTTGGCATGCGGGACATGTAAAGAAAGTAGCAGATACCTTCTTTCTTCGGGAACATACACGGCATCTTATCCTTTTGTCTAATTTTTTTTGGAAATTATTGTTCGTAGTCTGTGCTCGAGAACTCGTAGAGGCCTGAACGTCAGTTTGCAAAAACTCCTGAGCTATATCTACCCGGAATTGCAGATAACTTTTATCTTCTGATTTACTTCATTACATAACCAGCATGCATTCCACATTGATACATCAACTTGATGAAAAAATGTGTTCAGATACCAGCGTACATATTTGCGTGGAGTTGAATAGTATGAAACCATTTGATCACATCTGTCAATCCCTGACATATTCGAATTGTTATCGATTATAGTAACTGGTTTCAATTTCTTATTTCCCCGTTTGTCAGTTATTTCGCCCATAGTTGCCTTATGTTTGGTAGAGATCACTAAAACATCTCTAACATATAAATGTTTGCTGAAAGCTATGGAATACGAGATCACGCACCATCCAAATAAACATAACCTAACAATGTACAGGTCCTCCTGATCCACAGACCACTCGTCACAGATATTTATAGACCATAGGGCAACGAACGAAACAATAACCCAGACCACAGATTTTTGAAATCCACAAATGTGTGTCAGCGGTCGTAAGTGGGATCCCTTCTGTCACATATATGTGACGCCTGGTAGCGAACGTGTTGAGGTGAAACCCGGATCCCAGTTTACTGCTTCGGATTTATTTGACAAAAGCAAAGAACTTTTGGAACCTCACAGATCTCCACGAATTTTGTGGCGCGTTTGTTCCTTTTGTTCAAAGCAAACGTCTGAGAATCCAAGGATGCAAAAGTATTCTTTGGTTCGAAAACCTGTTAAGTTTGTGGCTTGTTTCGACTTCGGGATTCGGGTTTCACCTTGACCCAATGATATTTTAGGGTGCTATGTGTGAGTTTTCGACCTTCCGGGTCTCATCAGTTAGGCGGAGAAGCCTAAGAGGTAATTTGATTATTATTTAATCTGGTTGATTCAAGAAGTAGTTTTCAAACGCAAAGAACAATGTTTGTTCATATTGTCAAAGACACAAAGGCTGTGCCAGTGTCGGCATCTGCGGAGTTCTACAATTTCGAGCGACTTTTGTCTTTTCTGCTATGCACTTTTGACTTTTGTTTTGCTCAAAACTATTCTATAACTCACATTTAACTGAAATCTGAACTGAACTGAAAATGAGTATCAAATCTTCATAATATTATTTTTGTGCAAGTAAAATTATTACCTTCATATGGGATGGTTTCATGATAAGTGATTAAACGTGTCTCAGCAGTGCCGGATCTATACTCACTTACTCCAGGGGCTAACTAAAGTGCTCAAAGAAACAAATGGACCACTGAAATTTTCAACAATTTCCAAACTGCCAAAACTTTTTGAAAAATGAATGGATTTTCAATCGGAATGCAGTGTTTGGAAGATGCGATCTTTCTGTTCAAGATTCCGTGTTCAAAACTGGTCGGGAGTTTTTCTGTCAAACGCTCCCGAATTTCAGGGATTTTTATTTTATTTTTCTATTAATCATTTTTTCCGAACGTTCAAGCCAATATCTCGAAACGGTTTTGTAATTTTCCATATTCCTCATACAGGATGTTGAAAATCGATAATTTTTCATTTTTAGGTTTTCATCACATCATTTCTGATTTTCAAATTATTCAAGCCACATTCAACGTATTTTGCCACTCTATACGATGTAACACATCCTTTAACAGAAGAAGAATTTTTTTTTGAGAAATGTTCAGAATTTGGTGAAATCGTCTGTTCAGTTTGGTGCTGCCATAATCATATGCTATGCTAAACACAAATACTTCATTTGGATCGATTGCTCTGCTCAGTATCTCGAATTGATTTCGTTATTTTTCAGATAAGGCAATGCAAGGGGGCGTACAATACAACATGTAGAAGTTTTGGTGATGACATAAGTTTCAAGTGATTAGATGAGAAATTTCAGTCATTGATTTCAAATTGGAATGTTTATAGTGTCATAAGAAAAGTTGGCCAACATTCTTCAAACAGAATCCCAATATGAATACAAATATATAGTGGGTGTTTCCTAAACATTGGTGAAGTATTGGGAGGTGTTTCCTGTGCTTTTAAGTTCCTATAAATATTTGTGGAAAAATGTTTCTTAAGGGTGCTCTGCCCCTCAATATAAGGAAACCTGAAACGATTTTTCCTCACAATTATATATATATATATCTGATGTTGAATTAAAATTTCAACTCAGAATTTTAACATTTCGATGGCATCATTCTGAAGTGGTTAACAATTCCTTTTTTAATGTTTTTTTTCTCATATTCTGACAACAAAATATGATAATTGGAGGTGTTTTACGTGGAAAGGTATGCCCAGTTCATATCAATCGGGCTAGTAGATTTCGAGAAAATCACAATTTTCTGCATCTATGGTTTGGCACCCTAAAGAAGGGTTTTCCTGAATATTTTCGAAACCGCTCACACTGAAATATTGGAATTTGGTGAACTGCATGAACTTTCAACGCCAGATGAGGTTCTGAGCTCGAAATTTCAGAATTTTTGTCAGCGACATATCATACTGAAGATATTGCAGGTCAAAACAACCCCATTTACTAATGAAGATTCATTTTTAACGTTTTGGTTTTTGATTTATTATTCATCACAAGATTTAACCTAGTCCATATCACCCCATATTACTGAAATTTATTTGTAATCAATTCAAGTTACCTCCGATATCTACGCCGCTGCCACTCGCACTCGTGATATATAAGGTGGATTGAGCTATTTACTAGTATCATCATGATCATTTCATTTCATTAGATTTCAGACTTCTTCTGCTTAACCCAGAAATTTCATGAAAAATATTTTCACCACTATATATTCAAAGGTAACAATTCCATACCTATAAGAAAATTGCAGAAAACATGCAAATAGGTATAGGTACATAATAACAATGTCATATAAAGATAAAATAATCGATGAAAAATCGTGGAATGTTGAAACAATCCCTCGATCGGTTCAGCAACATAATTTTTGTTGAGATAACCGAGGAGATTACTTTCCCTTTTCTCCCATGAATTTTCAGTGAACCTGTCAATGAGACATAATAGGTAATTCGCTACAGTTTGCAGTCCACGTGACTCATGAGGAGGAATTTACCCGAAGGTATGACCATCGTCCAACAATCAGAATATTGTTGGACCATCGTATGACAGGGAAGAATTGCCTGAAGCTCCCCCTTGCAATCGCCCTGCTAAGAGGGGACACTTGAGAGATACGTTGCATTCGCCGCTCCTTTGTCAAAGGAAACCCAAGAAAGAGAGGAATTCCTTAAGAGAGAGACAGAGATCGAAGAACCGCCTGCTTAACTAACTGCAAATTGGAAATCCTTGAAACGACAGCCGGATGAGTACCGGAGAAGTACCAGAGTGGTCGATCACTCGGTATCATGTACTACGACGTGCGAGCGTACCAACTATGAAAACGAGTACTACTTTGAGGCTAAGTGGCCCTCAGCCGACTGCTTCTGCTCGTTCTGGACTGGCCACTTCGACACTGCGTCACTCTCTCTCGAGAGTTCGCAGATTTTTACAGGACCGGTACTAACAAAAGACACCAGATCCAAAATAAACTCGCGTATGGACAGGTTGGTTCTCTAGTTGTGGGAGTTCTTGAAAAAATTCATCTTATTTTTTTCTATGTTCTGGTCCCCACGAAAGGGGATAGCCTGTAATGTTCAGAGAACATCGTAAGAACCAAGAGAAATAAGGTAGGAATTGGTGTTCTCCTTGAATTCCTGGAGGTGTTATGCCTCGGGGAACATCTTCCTTGGCAATGTGCTCCAGAGCCTCGCTGTTCGTTGGATGAACGAGTCTTTGGAAAGAGATGTTCTGCAGGTCTCCAAAGTGACCACGAAGGGGTGCGAAACTCCAACTCCTACTGCCAAGGGAAGAATAATTGTTGATATTTCAGAAGAGCATCGTCCATCAAAATGTCTATAAAATAGAGCCAGATCGCCAACTTGTCTACGATGTTCCAGAGAAGTGAGTGAGTTCGTGAGCGAGGTATCACCCACTAGAC